ACCTAGACTATGGACAGAACTTGCAAGGGAATTTCCTTTCTACACAGGTGGCATCCTAGGAGAGAAACTAAGTACGCCAAACCCAGAGATGGTGATGTCTGGATGAGACAGCACTGTATTCACCAGGTTTGGGGGATTCTGTCACACCGTTAAGATACCTTCCTCTATGTCACATTAGGCATGCCTCATTAGCTCATCCATATCTCTTTTCTGGAGCTTGTGGGAGCATGCAGTGAAGTACACTTGAGTGTGGTAGATACCACATCTTTTTGTCAGTTTGTATTCTTCTTTTGAGATTCCCACTATTTGAAGGAAAGAGTCTGGGGCAGGTACAGATACCCAAGTAAGTATTCCCAAAAATTATGATTCCCACTTTTTCCCTGATCTCTTAGCCGTTCTGTTATGTATAAGAGTTTCTTGGTTTTCAGGGAAAAAAAAAAGGAATTTCAGGTGGTTGTTCCTCTTACCTGGATAATGATGATTTAGACAAAAACTTTCCAAAAATGAATGATATATGTGAGCAATTAAACCACCTTCCATTTTCAAGATGGCAAAGGCCATGACTTATATCATTCAGGTACTCGGAAAAAGTTAACTTTAGTACTTTTGAGAGAAACAGCTATCATTTCATCTAGTTCCAGTGAGAGGTACCTGGCTTTATAATTGTTCTCATTTTAGCTACTCATCTCTATATGGGATTATAAAGGCTAGAAACTGCCACTTGCATTAAAAGTTGGCTGGCTGAAGAGAAAAAGCTGTGTGCAAAATGGGATTCGTCGCAAGCAGATCACTCAAAACTGATCTGGAAAATCAATGTCAATTATATTTAAGGGTAAGCCTTAGAGCTCATCCATTAGAAATAAGCAGGATATTAACACGTTGGGAAATACACAGCAATATGTTAGTTCTGTTTTTATTTTGAAAACTAAATTTGGTTCACTGAGACTTACAGATGTTGAGTTATGCACAAATAAGACAGTTAGCTAGGCTCCCTTTACAAGCAAATGAAAGGAGCTGTCACCTCATCTTACCTCTATTGTAACCCCTATCTGGAAACACTTTCTGGAGGTCCTTTTTTCTCTTCATATTCTGTCCCGGAAGCTAAGACAATTGTCTTAGTCTGTTCACCTAATTGAAAGTAGATTGTGTGAATTCCACTCTTTGTGCCTTCTGGAAGACCTGTTTCAAAGGTAAATCCGTTTTCTGTACTCCAATTATTTTTAGACACTTATTTTAGAAAAAAAGCCTCCCCATCAGGAGTGTCCTCAGGCCATCCTTCACATCCGTGTTCCTCAGGCTGTAAATGAGGGGATTCAGCACGGGAATCACCGTCCCCTTTTCCTGATCCAGCGAGTGTTTTGAGCTCGGCTATGAAAAAATGAACGCAGCTTTCCCATAGAAGACAGTGACCGCCGTTGGATGGGAAGCACAGGTGGGGAAGGCTTTATATTCGCCCTGCTTAGAGCGAATTTTCAGGATAGTAACCAGAATGTAAGCATGGGATATGACAATGATCAGGCTCGTGGTGATCATATTGAATCCAGCCAACATGAGCATGACTATGTCACTGACACCGGTATCGGAGCAGGAGAGCTTTAATATTGGAGGACCTTCACAGTAGAAATGATTGATGACATTGGGACCGCAGAAAGACAGATGGAGGGTGCTGGCAGTGTGTACCACGGAGTTTACCGTCTCAGCTGAATATGAGACAGGTACAAGCAGAACCTAGACCCTCTGGGACATGGTGACTTTATAGTGCAGCAGGCTACAGATGGCTGCACAGCAGTCATATGCCATCACGGCCAGGATGTGGCACTCGGTAGTGGCAAAGATTGCATAAAAATAAACCTGGGTAACACATCCAACAGAAGAAACGACCTTTCTCTCTGCCAATAGATCTGACAGCATTTTGGGGGTAATGCAGGAGGAATAGCAGATATCTAAGAAGGGTAGTTTGCTCAGGAAAAATTACATGGGGGGGGTGTGAAGTCTGGGATTGATTTTTGATGGGAGTGATCAGCCCAAAATTCCCCAACAGGAGGATGATCTATCACAAGGGAAAAAAGGAAAGATAGGGACCTGAACATCTGGGCAGTCTATCAGTCCCATTAAAATGAACTCAGTGATCAGGCTGTGATTTCCTTGAATTATTGATATATCATCCAATAACTGTGAAGACAGAGATATAGTTGGAAACAAATCATCAAGAATCTCTCTGCTTTGTCCTTCTTTGTGATTAGGAATATAAGAACAATGTTTTTTCTAAGGCTAGAAAAACACAGGTCTCAGAGAAAAATAGGTTTGATAAGAAACACTTTGTAAGAGAGCTTGAAAGGGATTCCCATCTTCCAGCTAGCCATCTAAAACTTGGGTATCCAAGTTCCCTTTATAGCTAACCCAGAGAGAAAGGCAACATTGGAGGCTGAGTCATCCCATCATCATATGGTTATCTAAGAGAGGTGAGATGAATCATCCATGGGAAATATCCACTTCTCTGTCTCTGTTGACTTGAAAGGAAGTCTCGAGGACTGTATTGAGCTAACGCCTAACTTATGGATGGCTGAGGTTAAATGACATGAACCCCCCCCCCCCCCACACACACACACAATCCACAATATGCATGAGAGAGTAGGCGACAGCAGCAAAAAAGAAATCAGAGAAATGACAACATCGTTTTCAAAATGATTATATAGTTGAAAGCAAGCAAAAAAAAAAAAACCCTAATCAGGTGCTTTCTCGTTTTTGTTCTATGGGAGTAAATATGATCTGTGCTAAGCATAACACATCATCTCTATGATGCAGTTTATGTTGTTTATGGAAATGAAGAAGGAAACTGTCAAGAATATGAGTCACTATCTCGTGGGTGCCTCCTGGGTGTGTTTAGTCAAATAACTCATTTAAACATACATTTTATTTAAAGACAAGCATGAGGAGGGAATAATTCTCCTCCTCATAATTCAATCTTCTGCAACAATTCAGAGTAGAAGGTTCCTGAACTCACTCAACATCTTGTGATCGAAGGCACCTTTTGCTTCTTCTGAGGCACAAAGACAACGCATACAATGGGTTGAAATACAAACTCTGACTAAATGATTCATGGAAAAGTCTTCTCTCTTGCCTGCACTTAAAGTCAGCAGAGAGCCAGGGAAGTTATTCTTTTCTGAAGAAATTACTGATTTCCCTTGAGCAAAAGGAAGAGTTTCCAGGACCCGCATGCAAGGATCCCAAGCTTGTTCCCTTTAATCTTTTGAAACTCCTGTTTGGGCAAACGCATAGCAGAAATGCACATAAAGTGATTTCAGTGACCTTGGTGTGGATAGAGTCAGATCAGGAGGGGTAGGGGGAAAAAAGTAAATATTTGAGCAGCTTTTGCATTTACAGACTGTTTCTCTAGCTTGTATCGATATCTCAGAGATTGTTAGATGTTTTGATTCACAAGAAGTGATGGACAGTGACCTTGACGGATGAGACTGTAGTCTTAATCCTGGCCGCCTTAATAAGTGATGTTCTTGTTCTAAGCAGGCACAGCTTTCTGTTCTGGTGGCTGTTTTTGTTGTACTACAAAATACATCAGAAAGTTCTTTGTTCCGAAAACAAATACATACCTTATCTATTCCATTAGCTGCAGGCTCATCTGAACAGTCCATTAAGCCACCCAGACAAGAGTATGGCCAGAGTCATACTCCAGGTCGGAGATAAGCCGCGTCAGCTGAGACATTCTTGGATCACTAATGCTCATGGTAACATACTGGCTGGAAATATCACATCACATTTTAGAGTTAGAAAGGACGATAGGAAAAGTAGGAAGAAGCTAAGAACATGAACCTGCGGAGACAGCTGCCTTTGAGGTGAAGGTGTCTACATTCAGGCATCTAAGGAGCTTTCAGGCTAAGAAAAAAGGAAGCTGCTTGGTCCCTAGAGTCAGGGATTTCTTGAGGGAGGGGAAGACTTTCCTGACCACGGGTATCTGCCTAAGTCCCAATTTCTAGACATAAAACTGCATTAGGTATCTGTGAATGCACATCCTGTAATTTATATCTACAGATCTTAAAACTAAGTCAGATAAGCCAAGAATCAAAATGGCAACCCATCAAAACCCTATGTAAATATGCATGATGTATATACATATACACACAAGCATATCATATTGTCTATTTTATAAATAAATAAATGTGTGTGTGCGCGCGCATATATTTACACATGCCTTTATATGTTCAAGTTGGAGTTGGCTAGATTGTCTCTTTCACCCTAGATTCATCTGACCTGCCTTTGACATGGAAAGACGGTGCCTAATTTAGCAACACAGGAGGCAATCCAAGATCCCCCTGTAGCCTATGGAAGGAGGTAGGCATTTCAGAAGGCAATGAACGTCTCATGAGTTCAATCAGTCCTAGACATTTGTTTTCCTACCGATTAGAAAGAGAACGTAGGAGGCACTTTACTTAGACGGGGCAAATCTGCACCTAAGCAACTTACCTCATGTCACATAAGCAGTCTGTGACACTTCTGGGAGCTGAACCATGATCTTCTGGCTCGATCACCAGGTTTCACGGTCAATGAGCTATAAACACTTTGGTGCGGTCATCAGAAATCTGCCCATTTTTTGATATGAAAGGAGCTCTGATAATCGTTCTCACACTGACAGCATTAGCTATTATTCACTGTCATTATCCGAGATAAAAGTGCTAATGTATTCTCAAACCACAAGTGGTCCAAAGGGCTACATTCCTCAAATTACTAATATAAGACTGTAAACACAAAGGAAAGCATAACAAATGCATACGTTACTGAGACAGCTCAACAAACAATTTAATCAAAGAGCAGTTAATGGCCAAATGTTTGGGAACAAGGCAGAAGTTTCCCAAAACACATGTCCGGCTGCTCACCACTAGTTCACAGGAGAGCGCTATTTCTTTTCATACCATAGTACTACAGATATAGAAGAGCATAAATGTTTCTAAAGAGACCTCTCAATTCTTCTGAAGCATCAGGAAAAATTATCTTTCAGATGAATGTTTCCTATCTATCACTCTCCCGAGGGCACCCTTCACCTCCTTGTTCCTCAGGCTGTAGATGACGGGGTTCAGCATGGGGGTCAGCACGGTGTAAAACACAGAGATCACTTTGTCGAGGTTCTGGGAATGCCTGGAACTAGGCCGTGAGTACGTAGACGCAGCAGATCCATAGAAGAGAGTCACAGCTGTCAGGTGGGAAGCACATGTGGATAAGGTTTTGTACCTGCCCGCAGCCGAGTGCATTCTCAGGATGGTGGCCAGGATGTAAGTGTAGGAGAGAAGAACGGTCAGGTTGGTTATCAACAAATTGAAGCCCACCACAACAAACATCATAACCTCATTGATGGTTGGGTCCGTGCAAGAAATGGCATAAAGTGGGGGCCCCTCACAATAAAAATGATTGATGACGTTGGGACCACAGAAGGACAGTCGAAATGCAAACCCTGTATGGATAGTGGCATTCACAATCCCAGCAATATATGAGCCAGCTACCAGCAGGGCACAAACTCTGCTGGACATAGAGATTGTATAGAGCAACGGGCTACAGATAGCCATGTAACGATCATATGCCATAGCAGCCAGGAGGTAACATTCAGTGGTGGCAAAGGTAGCATAGAAATCAAATTGTGTAAGACATGCAGAGTAAGAAATGACTTTCCTCTTTGCTACAAGATCTTTGAGCAATCTGGGCGTGACTGAGGAAGAATAGCAGATGTCTAAGAAGGATAAGCTGCTTAGGAAGAAGTACATTGGGGTGTGAAGCCGGGAATCCATTCGGATTAACACAATCATCCCCAGATTCCCTAACAGAGTGAGCATATAGACGATTAAAAACACTATAAAGAGGATGACCTGGACATTCAGCTGCTCTGAGAATCCTGAGAGAACAAATTCAGCAATGAGGGTATGATTTCCTTCATCCATCATCATAACATAGTTGCTGTATGAAAGCAGAGATACAGAGAAACACAAAGTCAGCATATTCATTCCCCCCCCCATAAAGGGTAGATAAATACATATCTTTTTTATCAGGAAGCGCAAAGCTCGGCAGTAGGAACTGTAGAACAACATATTGAAGGTTTGTCTCAAAACACATTTCAGGGAAAACAAGGTGACTATTTCATACACAAACAGGTTCCTATCTGAAGTACGCCCTTTCTAACAGACCAGCTCTTCATGTCACAATTTAGGCTAAAATTGAGAGGTCCTCCCCAACCCACCTGTTTGCTCACATTTCAGAGGCCTTTTCAACTTGTCAGAGACACAGAGGCAGTGCTTGATGTCTCCTAGACCACGATTTGATGTGGGAAAGAAGCCCCTACTTCTCCAAGTGTTTGTGTGAAAAGCCGGAATGATTTGCCAGCCATAAAGGGTATCAACTCCTGACCAAGAAAAACCACTGTTTATATGATCCTTTTATGACAATATACAAGGGTTTTGCCAGTAACTTCCTAATTGTGTCATGCGGAAATTTCTCCTGGGAGCTCATGATTTTGAAAATCGCTCCTTAAGGAGGAGACACGTACCGATACTAAGTAAACACAACTACTTTCGTCAAATAAGGGGTAAACTAGGGTGTTTTTCCTACTTCTTTTTGTGTACAATTTTCTTTTGGAATCATGGAGAGTTAAAAAGAATTGATTCAAGAAATAAAGACTGAAGGATTAGGAAATAGGCTTGGGAATTGGAGAACTCTTGCACGTGCTAGTCATGGCGGGGAGGGAAGAAGAGGAGGGAAAACCACTCATGAACTCTTCTGCTACAATTTGTTTTAATATTAAATAAGACATCCTGTTATTAAAACACTAGAGATTGTATCCAGATCTTCTGTGAGAGTCAAAGCCAGGTTTATGGGGAGAAAATTCTCTTTTATTGCTTTTAAAAGAAAAAAAAATCAGTTCTGGCATTTTTAGTTAGATCTTCTAGGGAAACATTTCCTATCCATCCATATAAAATATCAGCCTTTCTTTAAGACGTTAGTATCTTACCTCAGTGACCTTTATATCAAAGAAAAAGCATAGCTCAGACGCTCCTTCATCCATTTGGCATTTCTCTTTGTTCCAGAAACTTTCTTGCATGCAAGAAACATCTGTGCTCAACTGAATTATAGATGACTATTTAACATCTAGTTTTACATTCTCACTTTTTTGGGGTGTGGTTTTTGAAGGACTCTGAAACATCTACCATACCCAGTTCTTCCATATCCCCCATGCTTATAAGCTTCTACTTTTGAGTTTTTTCCTCCTCATTTTTCCTCTCTTTCTTATTCATGAGATTGTCAATACTTGCTCCTACATAAATCAGTTGTGGTGTCATATCCTTTGGGTCACTTTGCCCTTACTGAGTGTTGGTTCAGCATCACCTGTGTGAACATGGCTTCTTAGGACATACAGTAAGGCACATGAAGCAAAGTTCATGTCATCTCTTCATTACACGCTACTGGCCTAAAGGTGCTTGTTTGGACCTACTGAAAGAAACTTCCTGCAAAGAAAGTACCTGTAGTTCATCAGCCCCTGAAATAACTCTTGCATTTTGCTAATCATCACCCTTCTTTTGAAGCCACAGTCCTATCTTGCATGTGCCAGCTTCAAAGAGCGTATCTGAAAACTGCTTGCAGATACATCTCTGCTCTCCTGCATGGGCCAGAACTTACAGTTCCTGATTCAATATTTTAGCTGTGCCATGTTCCAGGACCCCTGAAAACAACCCAAAGGTGGGGTGGCTTGTGCTGGCTCTGTTCACGTGCATCAGCGGTTCTCTGAAGTGTCCAAAGTACACTTGCACCTTGCAAGCAGAAGACCTTGGGATTGATACCCATCCCATAAGCTATCAAAGCAAGCCTCTAAAAGCCTTCATCTTGACCCCGAACTGCCTGCCCGAAGCATGTACCTACACCCTTTTCTGAGGTGCGCAGAGTCTCCCTCTCTCTCTGACCCAGTAACTATAACGCTGAGAAGTCTTGAGACAAAACAGCTTGGCATGGGTGCACTTTTAGTTATCCTGGAACAAAGCACAGCTGCCTCTTGCAGAAGAGAGGAAAGGGGGAGAGACCAGGGATGGCGGACAGAGAGAAGGCAAGCACAGATGAGCTGCCTGCAGAGCTACTCCTCAAAGCATGAAGCTTCACCTTAAAAGGCCCCGCACTCACCAGATGTAAACATCAAAATGCTGATTTCAAGAGAGCCACAGGAGAAGCGGTCATACTGCAGAAGCAGAAGGGCAGCGGTGTGTGCAACGCACAAATTGTGGAGAACTGATGTCCCCCTTGCCAGTGGTGGGAAATGGCGCTCCCCTTGGCAATATCTCCAGACTGGGCAGGGCCAAGTGCGTTTCTAAGGATGCCCACAGTAGTTTCCTTGCTCCTCAGCTCTCAGGGTTAGCCTAGAAATGCTGTTGTCTTAATTCTTTGGGGGTCCTGAGCAGGTGTGGGAGAAAATCCTGTAGGCAATGGATGCCCTGTAAAAATTGGAAAGATTTTTTTAGGTTCTGTCTGAGGGACTCAGCAGCAAGTACCCATATATTCTGACCCCCCCAGCATGAAATATTAATTTTAGAGTGGCCATATATACTTTTAGCATGACGAGCTGAAGCTTCCCCCCTTATGCTTAAATTAACTCTTTAGAATATGCCCTGAATGTGATTGTTCTGAACAAAAAATCCATATTTGCCATGTAGACCTGGCAGCTAATCACCCTTAGCTGCCTAGCAGCAAAGGGAAAAAAACTATGCATTTTTCCAGAAAAGTCATCTTATCCTGAAATAGATGTTTAAAATAGATCAGATGAATCAACCTCCCCCCGCAAATGCCTCATTCTCTCCATAACAGAAGTCAATGGTGCCTAACTCAGACCTGAAGGTCTACATTATAGGCACTTAAATTCAGCTAAGATGACTCCTGGACTGAGATGACTAAATCCCTGCCTCTGTGAACCCTGGGAAGCAGAAAGTATTAGCAAGCTGAAGTTCAGTTTACTAATCGGAAAATGAACTTTGCATGCCCTGAGGCATACAAGAGACGTTATGGTGGGGGAAGTTCTGGCCAGCAGTGAGCATGCCAGAGCCATCAAATGAGTCAGGCCTGTCTGAATATAGGGTCTGGCCAGAAGCATGGAGGTTTTCTGTGTTATCAACACTTAAGGAATGGCCGTGACATCCTGGGATTATCCAAGACTGCTCAGGCAGTACCTTGAAAGACTGCTCACAGACCAAGCTGAACAACACTAGGCCTTGGGGGATAAAAAACCCGTCTTGCTCCTAGGCAAACTGTCAGCATGGTAACTTGCAGCCTGGAAGTTGTCCATAAGTGAGACACATCTGGGAAAGCATCACACACAGTGCAAGTGATCTGCATGCAATATAGGAAGCACTGAGACAAGCTATGCCACAGCAAAAGCTATCTTCACCCTTGGACAGAGAAACCAGAGAAAATAATACATCAAGTTTATTGTATTACAGCAAAACCTTAGACAACTACTTAAAAAAATGTGGAAATAAAGTTATGAAAAGCATTGTCCTTCCCCAACATAAATTCTTTATTTAGCTTGTTCCATTCTCTTTTGGGTCACATCTTTCAAGCCACAGAATTGAAGTATTGTTGCAACATTGCATAAATCCTCCTTGTTAAAAAGGATCAATTGTACATAGTCTAGTCCTGTTTATAAGTTTGTTTACTCCAAACATTCCACTAACAATGTAAGTGAGAAGCTTTTAGGATAGTTTTTCTCTTTGCTTCCCTTTCTTTCTTTCTGTTTGGAGGAAATCATAATTACAGGCAATTTATTCTTTGAAGGACCCCAACATTAGGACATCCCCCATCCATTCATAATTCAGACTTTTTGCTGTGTTCAACAGAAGACAGCGTAAGTACCTCTCACCACATGCACAGAAAATGCCCTTATTGGGTCAGATATCAGGCTTATTCCTTCTCCCTCCACTAAGACAATTAATGCCTGTTTCAGTTTGGTTGCAGAAAGGCCTACGGAAACACTCCAGAGAGGAACTTCTTCGTCGCTCTTCTGAGGGCATCCTTCACCTCCTTGTTCCTCAGGCTGTAGATGAAAGGGTTCAGCATGGGGGTCACCACAGTGTAGAAGAGGGAAGCTGTTTTTCTTTGATCTTCTGAGTGATTGGAAAGGGGATATAGATACAAGAAAGCAGCAGAGCCATAGAAGAGGGCAACAGCCATGAGGTGGGAGGTGCAGGTGGAGAAGGCTTTCTGCCTGCCCCCCACGGAGCGGATATTCCAGATAGCGAGCAGGATGCAGGCATAAGAGACAAAGATGGCCAAGGCTGAGGTTGTTATGATGAAACCAATACTCGTGACCATCACCATCTCATTGATGCGGGTGTCAGAGCATGAGAGTAGCAAGAGCGGAGGGATTTCACAATAGAAGTGATTCACAACATTCGGGCCACAGAAAGACAGTTGGAAGAGCGCGCCAGCGTGCACCAGGGCATTCAGGGTCCCAGCAACGTAGGAGCCCGCTACCAGCTGGACACAGACTCTAGGGGACATGACTGACAAATAGCGCAGGGGTTCACAGATGGCCACGTAGCGATCGTAGGCCATGACAGCCAGAAAGATAGCTTCTGTAGTGCCAAATACTGCATAAAAGTAGAACTGTGTAATGCAGCCGTTAAAAGAAATTGTATTCCTCTCAGCAAGGAGGCCTGACAGGAGCTTAGGAGTTACAGATGAAGAATAACAGATGTCCAGGAAAGACAGGTTGCTGAGGAGTAAGTACATGGGGACATGAAGCTGAGAGTCGGTCCCGATTAGTATGATCATACCTAGGTTCCCCACCAGAGTGGTGACATAGATCAGTAAAAAGACCACAAAGAGCAGTCCTGGCAGGTTTGTGAAACCCAGGAGAATAAACTCCATCACTTCTGAATGGTTTCCCTGAGCCATTCTCCTGATACCAAGGCAGAGGAGGTAGAAAGAAACACACAGAAGAGGTGAAATCACTTCTAGCAGCAGG